CTTGGTGATGCTCTGGCAACAGGTGCGCCATTAGCGCCGGTTACCAACCTCGTATGTCAGTATCTCAAGCCATTGATGTTCGTTGTCTTTGAACCCTCAATCTGGGAGTCTAGAGCGTCATACCATTACCTGCTTTGAGGTTAATGCCTTCAGCGTTCAAGCCCAGGTTATTCTTTGTCCACCTTAGCGCCGCTTCCAGTTAGAGTCGGCTTGCGTAAAACATAACACGATTGATTGAGTCGTTGAGCCGTATCCGCAACACATGTCCTAGCCACCGAAGTCTCTGGAGCTAAGTGATGGCACTCAGCGGACGACTAAGATTGTTCAATTTGTCTATGTCATATGGAAACATCCCTGATTGTTGGAGAGCTGCTCGGATAACACTGGTTCCCAAAAAGGGATTATCGAAATATCGACCGATTGCGTTTAAATCAGCATTATTGAAAGTTTTCGAAACAGTACTTCCTAACCGGACGGTCTTTTTATCTATTACCTATGACCCTATTCAGTTTACTTACAAACATTCGCTCTCCTTTTTGTGATGCTGTTGCTCACGTTGCTCACTCCGTTTGATCGTTATTGAATAAAGGGACTGGTATCGTCGGTTTAACTTTTCTTGATTATGCAAATGCTTTCGGATCACTTGACCGCGGCATTCTCATTCTATGTCTTTCTGATTGTAGTCTGTCACCTAATTTGCTGAATGTACTAATTGATTACTTCTCTCATAAAAAGCAATACACTTTTTGTAAGGGTCAATCTTCCTCCCTGCTAGAAGTTAAACCTGGCGTTTCTCAGGGTGCAATTTTATCTCCATTTCTTTTTTCACTGTACATTAAGGACCTTCCCATCCCTCCCAACTTTATCGCCTGCAAGTATGCTGATGACGTGGTGGTCGTTTGTCCTTCGACTATTCCTGAATGTTTCTGTCAACTTCAAGTTTGTCTAAATACAATTTTTAGTTTGTAGACTCCCCGATCTTTAATGCTAAATGTAGATAAATGTCTGTATGTTTCTTTTAGCCTTAAAACAGGCATGCCTTATCAAATCCTTTTGAGCAATCAGACTGAACTTTCTGTTAATGGTAATACCATTCCCGAAGCTAACTTTGTGAAATTGAAGGTGCTTTGTCACAATCTTTCTTGGTCCAAACATATTGAAAACATTTATATTAGAATGTACATCGCCGCAGTTCGTAGCGTTTTTTTACGGTTGGGAGACCTGGCCTCTAAGCGTTGAGGATGCTAATCGACTTCCTGTATTCGATCACCAATGTCCGAAGCATTGCTCATGTCTCGTGGGAACATCGGGTGAGCAATGACGAGGTCCGTCGTCGTGTGTTGGGTGTGGATAGTCGTTCTCTAACGGAAGTAATCACCCTACACCGCCTCCGATGGCTTAGTCACGTATTGTGTATGCCTTCCCATCAACTCCCTTTCCGTGCTCTCTTCACACGTGCCGGGCAAGGCTGGAAGAAGCGCTGCGGCGGTCAGACCATGACATGGGCTAGAGGTATGAAGAAGCTAGCTTCGGTTGGNNATGCCCCATAAAAAAGACAAACTAACACACTAAATTTCAAAAAGTGTACGGTGAAACACACCAAAAATGATCATCCCATTTGTTTTCTAGTTCCCATTTTAACAGTTCCATCTTTTTCCTATGTTCTGTAATCCAACCTTCCCTCCTGTATTGTTATGGTTCTTATTTTTTTTTTGGCGTTGGCACCATGTTTGTTCGCAAGCTGGTGTAAGGTGTATATATATATCGTAAGGTATCCTTCCACACTTTTAGTCCTAAAATGTTTGGCATTTCCCTGAATGTAGTTTTTAAATTTGTGAGTGCATGCATTCTTTCACATTGGTTGTACTGCTCCCCCGTATATTGTCCTGGTCCGAAAGACAAAGACTTTTCTTTTTCCCAGATCTCTTTAACTTCTTTCTCGTTGCAGCAGCATTCCAAATACCGTTTTGGTTGATTTTATTGTGAGCAAGCATTTTGACTCATGCGATAGATTTGTCAGCCATATTCTGTCCAATGGAAACCACTGCCTGCACTCCGTTTTCAATAAATCGGTGTCTCATCCGAGTACCCGTTCCCAATTTCGGATTATTTGTGCACGCACCACCACATACAGAAAAAGCAGGATTCCTTATTTTGCTCGTATCTTGGTCAACCGAACAAATATTATTACTGAATTGAATAATCATCTGTCACATTAGGATTTTATCTAATCCGTTTGTTTTTCATTTGGTAAATGTATATTTTCTTTCTTTTTTTTCCAATGCTCAACGTTTTACTCACTGTAACTTGCCGAAAGTGGTAAAAGTCTATCCTATTAGGTGCATAAAGCTTGACTTGACTTGTCTGAGGCAAAGATTTTTTGGCGAACCTCTTCGTTAGTAGTTCACTGTTGCCAAC